AAAAGGGGAAAGTATAAAAGTATAGTATACCAACACTCTTATAGGGGTGTAAAGCTTGGGTGGTAAATGCGCAGCGAGGAGAGGGTTGGGGGCGGGTGGAGATTTCCTTTTTAAGGGCAAGGTGTGGGGGTAAATATTATGCAGAAAATTCGGAGTGGGGAAAAATTAGGGGGAAGGTGTGGAGTTAAAAAAAGATTAGTCAGAGGGCAAAGGGGGGTTGTTGAGGGGTTTGGTCTTTTAGAGGAAAGGGATCAAAGTAAAAAGACATGGAAAGCATATAAATCTATAGGGAAAGGGGGCGGGGTGGGGGTCGCCCTCAAAGGGTTGGAGAGGGGGGGAAAGGAGGTTTTGTGGGTAAGGGGGTTGGGGCTTCCAGCAAGCGGCGTGAGCGTGTTTTAAGGAGTGAATGGAGAAAGAATGGTACTTGGGACCTGACATCTGTTGGAGTTGAGCCAGGGTAAATATTTTTGTGAAGGGGTTCAGGGAAACTGGTTTTTTTTTCATATAGTCGGGCTTGAGTCCCCGGAAAAAGGGAAATACAAGCCTCACTTTTTAAAGGGGGGGTTTTGGGGTATTTTGGGAGTTTGGGGTATGTTGTTATCTTTATATGTGTAGGGTTTTGGGCTGTTGTAAATTTTGAGCACCTCGCAAAAACAGTGATAAAGTGCGAGGTTTGGGGAAATTTTTGAATGATGAAAGAAAGTATTTTCTTTTTTGGGGGTTTTTTTTTTCTTTTTTGGGTCCCCCCTGCCTCGGTTGGGGGAAAGGCCCCACTTGTTAAAAAAAAAAAAAAAAAAACTATTCCCAGGGGAAAAAAATATTCAGTATTTATGCCAAACTAATAAAGTACTTATACCCCCATTATCTGAAGGTTTAACAGGGTTTTTGCAAAAATTTTTACTCTCTTACCCCTGGAGATTCCCCGGGGGTATGAACAAGTAAAGGGGGAAAACCCCCCGACCAACGATTTAATTTTACCGTTCCTGAGAGGGGCATCGTTAGTTCCCAAAAATTTAAACGTTTGTTTTTAGTTAATTCCCCCCCAAAAAAAATAAAGGAAATAAATTAAACCGTTTCCCGACACCCCCAAAATATTGAAAAAAAAAAAAAAAATTTTCCACATGAAATTTAATTTAATACAAAACAAACTGAAAAAGACATGTACAATTTCATACACTTAAACCTTTTTTGAAGATCTGGTGAAAGATTGATGGGATGGGAGGAGGGAGAGTTGGATGGGTTTTGTGTTTTTGAAGGGGAAAAACCCCTTCCTTTGGACTTGGGTGTCAAAAAAGGTTTCCTTTAAACCAAAATTTCACACATTTCCTTAATCTTTTTAAGTAGGCAACTTCTTCAATTTTTCTATCCCCCCCCCCGGAAGGGAGTTTTCCTCAGGGCTGGGGGTCTTGCGTTAAAAATGAACTTGCAGCTCATCAGTGGTTAGGTCCACATTTTTTCCTTTCCCCCACCAACTCTTTTCCCACTCCCCACTAACCTCCAACCCCAAAGGGCTTCCCCCAAAGCCACAATTGATTCCCAAATGGGAAAAGGCTTTTTCAGGGGGGAAAACCCCAAATCCTTTTAAAATCCCCACACAACTGGCCACAGTTTCTTCCCAAACAGAGTTCAAGGGCCCCCTCATCACTCCCATCCCAAGCCTTTCCTAAATGTTTACAAAAATTGAGGATCTAAAGGGCTCTCCAAAACTCTCTTAGAGTCCCAAATGAGTTTTTTTTGTGGGGCACTACAAAGCACCCTTTTAAACATATTTTTTTTTTTAGAGTTTTTTTAAGTTTTTCAAAGACCTGGGTGGTCCCTGGGGTGCAAGGAGGAAATGGTAATTTGGAGACAAAAACTTGACCTTAAGAAGCTCATGTCCCCAAAAGTCCTCTGCCAAAGCTGAAGGGTGAAACCCGGAGCCTTGTCTAATACCAGGAGGGGACTTTTAAAGGGGCCCAAATTTTTTTTCCAGGAGGTAAAATTTTTTAAAAAGTGGGGGCAAAAAAAAATGGTGTAACCAGTCCCTAGAAAAAATCCCTAGTAACCCATCCTTAAATGTTTGCCCTCCACAGCACACCAAATTAGCCCCCCCGAGGACATTGTTTTTTCCTGAACACTCTGGAATTTTTAGAGTGGGCACCAATAAAGGCTTCACTTTTTCAATCACCCCCTAGCATTAGTACACATCAAAAAGAGTAAGCCTGTCCCATAGGCTTATGTCCTGGGGGTGCCTTTTCCTCCGAGTAATTTAGGTCCTTTTTGGGATTTTTTTTCCAAAACAGGGCCGTTTTTTCAAAAATTAAAAAACATGTTCATGTTTCAATTCTTCCTGTCCCATGTACTTTCCCTTTAATTCCTCACATAAATTTTTTAGCTGTTTTTTGGGCCGAAAATGGCAAACCTCACCATGGGGGTTTTTCACACTATGTATTTTTCCACTACGATTCTTTAAAACTCTCAAAACCAAAACCTTTTTTGGCCCTTTAAATTTACCACATTTATCACTATTGCAGGCATTTTTTAATTTAAACCTCATCAACTTCCCCAGCCTTTTTAAAATATGAAACCCCTTGGGGAGATTTCCCATCTCCTGCATCTGTTTTTTCATTTATCCACACCAATAACAGTCTTCCAACATCTTTTGAGGGACTTTTCTACTCAGTTTCAAAAAAATAGTTGCACCTTTGGCAAGAACAAACTTCCTTGATTGCCTTTTCTTGGCCACAAAAGTAGCGATGGTTGATTGGGGTTTTGTGAAAAAACCTGGCCCCTCGGAACACACTTTTTTAAAACTTAGCAATGATCTCTTTTTCTTTTTTAATCCAAAAGTAACCTTTTTCACCCTTTTTTTCTGTAGGGTTTGGGAAATAGAAGCTTTCTTTGGCCCATGGGAAATTTTTTTACAAGGGGAATCACCCAAAAACCCCTGTGATAATATGAAAAGTTTTCCCATTTTATGTTTGGTTTGGGGCCGCGGTGGCTGGGTGGCTTGTAAACACTGGCACCCATGGGACAAGTAGGGCGCCAAGGCCAACAGGGACGCTCCCCGAACGGGAAAAACGTGTTGGTCAATTTTTTTTGCCTAGTCAGGGAAAAATTTTTTCTTAAAATGTATCGCTATCGGGTTTAACGTTAAAATGGAAGCCACGTTTGGGCGAGGGGCCATTGTATATGAAATAAGTATAAAACTAAATCCAACTTCACTGTCTATGTATGAAGGGCTTTACAAAACTATGAACACAGGATTTCTCTCAGTTTGGGCCCTTTTTTAAACAAAAATTCCCCTTTATTTTCCCGATTTCCCGATCCAGACAGGCAAGGGCCCCCGCTTTAACCCGCATTTTTCTTTAAACGCAAATTTTCAATTTTAACCATTCTTCTTTATTCAAGACTTCCCAAAAATAAAAAAATACTACTCCTAAATCAAAAGGGCAAAACTATTTTTAAAGGAAAATTTAAAGTGTGTACTGTATTTTGCATTTTTTTGGGCCCACCTCTATTTTTCCCCAAATTAACCCTTTACGGGTTTTAGGCCCCCTTTTTGAAAATGTCATTCTATGTTTGCCAAATATTTGAAAAAAAAAAATTATTTTTTTTTATAAAGATAGAGAAACCCTTTTTCCCCATGGGAATGAAAAACCAAAGTTCGAAATTTGGTCGAAAAATCACGGAAAAAACGCTCCCCCGCAAGTTTGCGGAAAACCCCGACAAAATTTTAAACGGGGATTTTAAACCCACTTTTTACCCTGTTTTTTTAAACCAAATTTGTTGTTTTCCCGTTGACCAAAATCATAGCTATTTTTTTTAGAAACTCCCCTTTTTTCTAACAGCTAGGACAAAAAAAAAAACCCCATTTAAACCAAATTTGAACTACCCAATATAGTGGTCAGAAATTGGCAATTTGGCCAATTTCACGCAAATTAAAAAAGATGCCAATTTCAAAATAGGGTCCAGAATAAACAAGGTAGACATTCTTGGCACTAAAATAGCATATCCTCTGTTCATTAGTCACATCTCTAGGCCCCTCTTATATTATTATTGCTTTCTATTTTGATTTTTTATTCATACAAAAAAAAATACAAAATTTACTGTTATGCAGACTACTGCATTATTGTAAAAATGGTATAAATAATATCAGTGCACTGGTGAAAGAATATTAGACTCCCCAGTTGACGTGTATTGGACGTGTGGTGTGATTTGTTTACTCCTGAACATTGGTAAAAATCGAACATTTTCGCTAATTTGAGCTCAGTTTCAAGGTCGTTTTCATCGTCAAAGTAATGAAAATCATCTCTATTTCTGTAATATGTTTTCCATTTTATCACCTAAGACCATGAAAACGCGAATACAACGATAAATACTATACGAAAATACACCTCAAAGTCGGCGTTTTATTCCAAAAAAACGATCGTTTTTTTTTTCTCATTACGCAATGTGTGCTGCAGGATTTTTTTTATGTGGTGCACACTGACCACACAGACCCATTCTCTCACCTGTGGGCCTACCAGCTTTCTCCTGCTTGATTTGAAGCCGCTAGAATTATCGAGTATATATACGTCAGAAACATTGGCTCGTAAGACGTATTTACACGTCGAAAACAGTCAAAGGGTTAATATATGATAGTGTAAACATGTTATCAGGCTTTTATATGCATTTAAGAGTGAGAAAAGACTATGTTTCACCATACAGCAGTAACCCAGAACCTAATCTGCTACATATGCGTGGCCTGCCTGAATAGTGTCAGAGATGAAGGAACTAACTATACTCTGTTAGAACTTGTAAAACGGATTTGGAGGTAAGTTCGTTACTATTCTGTGTATGTACAACATTTCCAATTTCCTGTACTGCATACGAGTTCATGGATTTTTTTTTTATCTCATCAGCCATTTCCCACCAAGGCAGGGTATAAATTACTTTGGTTCTATTGCAATGAGAAATGTAATACAAACCTCATATTGCTGTATTCAACAAATCTAGCAAGACACAAGATACAACACAGTGTTATATTATTTTGTTTACATACCTTGGACATTTGGATCCCAACTGTCTACTCTGTTAGGTATAGTAGAGGTCGGTGGTGGAGTAAACTCTGTAGGGGTGCCACTACCATCAGTTGCTGGCACTGGACTGAATACCTGGTTTAAAAATTAAAACAAAGTACATATTAAGCCATGTACTGTAGAAATACATGGTCATGGACCAGGCCATGGGGGTGTTGACCCCTGAAACACCCTCCAGGTATAACCTGACAAATACAGCCCATGCTGACTCCTTGTCAACTTGGGTACAGACCTTAGAAAACAAAAGCACAAATGATGCAATAGTAAGAAAGATTAACACAGTTTATTCAGCACTTGAAGGAACCGATCTATGTTAGGCCTCTGATACTGTCAATTACAAAATTCTTGCCAATCAATATCACAATGAATGATGTACCTTAAAAGGCCCATGAATGGATGATTACCAACAAATTCATCCTCAATACTGAAGAAGCATTCTATATATCATTTGGGAATAAGCCATGTCTACAATTAGATATTAGAATTAATGATACTCAAAGAGCTCAAAAAGAAGAGGGAGAATTCCAAGGGCTAATAGTGAATAGCAAGCCAAAATTTAATGCCCACATCCAACACACATCAAGTTGCTGAAATGGTATAAATACTCTGCAAAATTCATTAGTTAGCTCTCTTATAAAGCTATTTTATAGTGTGATTTTTGTAAATGTAACTGAAAAAGCACATCAAAAAATGAAATAGTATATACTATGAGGGCCTTTCCAAATAATATTCACTTATGGATATACCTTTTCAATCACATTTATATAAACTGCATTATATAGAGGAACTTCATAAGGGAGATGACTTACGTTCTGCACCTCACACCAGTGACACTATGTTTCCCTCATTTACTCTTACTTACTGGATCTGTGGTTGGGAATCTGTCTCAGCAACTCCCCTCAAACCAATTATAACTCAGGAAAAGGAAGCTCTCAGGTAATACTATGTCCTTCTGATTGAGCATCTACAGAAACTCTATGCAAATTAAAGAGCCATAGATGTGGAATGACTAACTGAAAAACTGCAACTTTCTTACTGAACTCAAGACTAAGCTAAACAAATACTGTGTGCCTAAATTATGGAGTCAAATTATTTTGTCCTATCTTGTAATAAACTCGATTAACAAACTATCTGAAATACTATAAGAAATATTTTTCTTAATGTACCTTTGAATTTCGATCTTATGATCAGTATTTTTATCTGGTTCCTCACTCTGTTCATCTTCATTGCTAGTTTTTTTCTCTTGGTGACCTTACTCCCTATGTTTTTTTTTTTCAACAAACCGGCCGTATCCCACCGAGGCAGGGTGGCCTAAAAAGAAAAACAAAAGTTTCTCCTTTTACATTTAGTAATATATACAGGAGAAGGGGTACTAGCCCCTTGCTCCCAGCATTTTAGTCGCCTCTTACAACATGCATGGCTTACGGAGGAAGAATTCTGTTCCACTTCCCTATGGAGGTAAGAGGAAATAAACGAACAAGAACTAGTAAGAAAATAGAAGAAAACCCAGAGGGGTGTGTATATATATATGCTTGTACATGTATGTGTAGTGTGACCTAAGTGTAAGTAGAAGTAGCAAGACGTACATGAAACCTTGCATGTTTATGAGACAAAAATGGACACCAGCAATCCTACCATCATGTAAAACAATTACAGGCTTTTGTTTACACTCACTTAGCAGGACGGTAGTACCTCCCTGGGCGGTTGCTGTCTACCAACCTACTACCTAGGACTCCCTATGTATGAGTGCTATAAAGGCATCAAGCTAGGCAATGTATTTATTCCAAGTGTCACTTTGCAACATGGGAACCTGAAGTGCAGCAAGTTCTCTATGTATATTAAACAATTTCAGTACACACTGCTGATGGACTGTTTTTGAGGAATGGCTGAAACTACTCACATATGTATTATTATTATTATTATTATTATTATTATTAACACACTGGCTGTCTCCCACCAAGGCAGGGTGGCGCGAAAAAGAAAAACTTTCATCATTATTCACTCGATCACTGTGTTAATGTTGCAGCTATAAAACCACAACATTAACACCCCTCCTTCAGAGAGCAGACACTGTACTTCCCATCTCCAGGACTCAAATCCGGCCTGCTGGTTTTCCTGAATCCCTTCATAAATGCTACCTTGCTCACACTCCAACAGCATGTCAAGTCCTAAAAACCATTTGTTTACATTCGCTCCTATCTAACATGCTCACACATATGCAAAACCATCTTTATCCCCTCCCCCCAACCTTTCCTAGGCCGACTCCTACCCTGCCTTCCCTCCACTACAGATTTATACACTCTCAAAGTCATTCTATTTTGTTCCGCCCTCTCTACATGTCCGAACCACCTCAACCCCTCCTTAGCCCTCTGGACAACAGTTTTGGTAATCCTGCACCTCCTCCTAATTTCCAAACTATAAATTCTCAGCATTATACTCACACCACACATTGCCCTCAGACATGATATCTCCACTGCCTCCAGCCTTATCCTTGTTGCAACATTCACCACTCATGTTTCACATCCATACAAGAGTGTTTGTAGAACTATACTCTCATACATTCCCCTCTTTGCTTCCATGAAACAAAGTCTTTGTCTCCATAGTTTCCTAAGTGCACCACTCACATTTTTTCCCCTCATCAATTCTATGATTCACCTCATCTTTCGTGGACCCATCTGCTGACATGTCCACTCCTAAATATCTGAATACATTCACCTCCTCCATACTTTCTCCCTCCAATCTGATATCCAATCTTTCATCACCTAATATTTTTATCCTCATTTTCACTTTTAATTTTCTTCTTTTATACACCTTACCAAACTCATCCATCAACCTCTACCATGGAAACTGTGATTAAAGTTTAAATGATGAATGAACAGAACGAACTGATGAATATTAATGCTGTAATAACCTTTTTAATAAACTCAGCCACATGGAAGGTAATCATCATATACAGCCACTCCTCACTTACCGACATATTCATTTACTAACAACTCAGAGTTACGACAGGCTCTCTGACGAGTCGTTATTGTATACTATACGAGAACTTGGGTCATGAACTGGCAGTGCAGTGTCTCAGTGTCAAGCATCTCAATCTCCTTCCTACAGCCACTCTGTACATTAGTTTTCACAGTCTCCAAGACTACATATTTGTACAAATTTGTACTTTATTGTGCACACCATAGTACAAGACAGAGTTAGAAGTGCAGCAGCACATGGAAGAGGAAAAACAAGAGGAAAATGGAAGAAGTACAAAAGAAGTTCACAGTAAAGGGGTTAGCTGGTGTGTTCGTCTGTGTGTTAACATTCTCAGTGTATCATGGCAGCTTAAGAAATGATTAAACTCAGTGAACAAGGTATGTCGATGGTAATAATAATAATAATAATTAATAATAACTGCTCTGGAGTGCTTTAAATATCAGCTACCAAACCTATACAAAATACGTATGATATTTAAAGTGCTACAGAGCGATTATTTATTATTATTATAAATTATTATTACCATTGCCATACCTTGTTCAATGAGTTTAATCTTTTCTTAAGAGAGCAGAGCATATAGCTCAGAAAAAAAAAATCAGGAAAAATTGCGCTATTTTTGCATTTTTTCTTATGATAAGAGTGATGTAGGAGTGTTTGCCCTGATGTAAACACCATCTTCTTTCGTTATAGACCAGAGGTACAAACGAGAGAATGCATCTATCTTATGATCTTACCCCACTCACATAATATGGCATATACTATTCATTTCGGCATCTTTATTACAGTTCTAGGGCATTTATTGTGTTTCTGATATCAGTTTGGAATAAATGTGATAGATAAACAACCTTTACTACTAATATTAGTGTAATTACACATTTTATTATTGCCACAGATAGCATCCGACGCCCACGATGACTCACCAGATACTGAATGCTCCTTGTGCTGGCCTCTCCCTCTATCCTATAGCTCCTCCCACTTTGTAACGATGTTAGATGGTTAATTTAACCCTTAAACTGTCCAAACATAGATCTACGTTTGTGAGCGTAGTGCTCTGACCTTGATTTTCTCAAAAAGAATGTAAAAAAACGTAGATCTATGTTTGGAGCGCTATGCGAGTGAATGTAGATCTATGTTTGGACAGTTTAAGGGTTAAGAGTGGTCTTCACCATCCCTGTGGCATAAAGTGGCTTAGTTAAGCCACCTTCGTGGGTAGTGAGCGGAGTGTGTGCCAGTGAGCAACAGCGAGTGTACGCTCCCTTCACCCACCCGCCACACACTCTTCACTCACCTACCTGTGGCTGTTTGCACCCTTGTACCGGGTCCTAGTACTGTTTTGGCTCACATAATTGGTCAAGAGATTGTAGCTGAGCGCCAACGATAAAGCCAGTTATGTGAGTTCACCGAGAAAGCGCATTTCTTCCGAAAACAGTGTGAGTGTAGGAGGCGTAATCACCCGCAGGACAACCTTCCCCTCATCACTAGTCATCCCGTCTACTACTCCAGACTCCAGTGATAATTTTCTGTTATAGACATTTTTCTTTGCATTTAAGACATTTGCGTGTGTGAGACATTTACAGTGAATTTTTTGTGTACTCTAAACATGTTTTTTTCAGTGTAGACTCAGTGTTTCTTGCTCATTATTTTTGCAATATTTTTCAGTGTTATCGCCATCTCATAATTTTTATCTGTTTTTTTTTTTTTTTGCTACTCTATGTCTGTAATAAGTATTTTGTGTAGTGTACCAGTCAGTCCACTCTGTGTGAAGAAATTTAAATTTTTTTTTTTTATTTATCTTGTATTTTTTCCCGGCATTGTTTTCTCCAGTATTTGTCGTATACCAAATTATCCATTTATTTCTATGTGTGCCTTTTTTTCGTACACCACAGTGTCTCATTCTCTGATCTTTCCGCAGACTTGTGTACCATTATTTTTGCCAGCAATTTTTGTCGTTTTCAGTCACAGCAAATTTTGTTGTAAGAATACACTAAAAAAGTGAATAATGAATATATTTTGTGTGCCCCGCCACTTGTAAGTTTTTGTGTGCCCCGCCACTTGTAAGTGTTACACTTCCAGTTTGTTTCTTGTTTATTTTATTC